AACTAAACACACCGACTGCGACGGCCGGTGGAAGGCCAACACCAAGGCAATAAACTGTGTCCAATTCTGGGCCGACAACTTAGTTATCAGGCTTGGATACAAAAAAGTAAAGTAAATTCGCAAATTTTACATATGTGTGGTTTATTGCCCTGTATTGATCGAAGCATTCTAGCTGTGATCCTTTCGTCGAAAGACAATTGTTGACTACGGTAAAACATCGTAAAATATCTTACCTGGGAGACGTGTTAAGGAAATTCCGACACTCGATACCAAAACTAATATCACAAATAAAAATTGAGCGAAACCGGGGACCTGGTAAAAAAAACAACATTGCTGGCTAGGAAATATATGGGGATTGGTGTGAAGCTTTGCACATAACACCGGAAGAAGAAAAAGAATCAAACTTATGGCAAAATATTTATTAAAATATAAATTTACAAAACTAATAATATTAATATTACTTTAAAAAACAGTAAATGTTTCTGTTTATAGATTTATTATTTGTGTCGAACGCTTTTTACAAATTTATCAATTTGGCGATTTCCACTACGCACACACTGATCTGTTTTAGCCACTGTGTAATTCTTGCAGTTTTTGAATATTCGAGTGGCGTCGTCTAGAGCCTTGTCTGCCTCTCTTACCAAAACGGAACTGTATGCCTAAAGCAAAAATAATAAATCGGTCTTTATCCGCAGTGTGAAGACCTCTTTTCTATTCTACCTGAAGGTGTTAATGGACAAAAGCAAGTGTGTTAAACTAACAGTGCCTTTTATATTCCTTCTACCTTAGTGACGTGTGGATGTAACATGATTTATATTAGATGCTAGATGGATTAAGATATATCTGTACTTTTTTATCAGTTTGGCAATATATGGTAGAGTTTCGGGTGTTGGATTTTTTTTGGAAGTCCATATAAACGTTCCAACTTTTGTAACTTGTTGGGTATTTCATATGTAGAGTCGACAGTGGACATTGAAGAATCTTGCTTTGCTGGTGGATAATACGGTCGCATAGTTCCCAGGACCTTGTATGCAAAGTTTATAAGTATAGCACTGTGCTGTAGTGAGAATCTGTTTTTTTGTCTATCTTGATGAAGATAAACTATAAATTTTTGTTTCGTATTGTTTTGGCTTCGGTAATGATTTCCGTTAAATTGGAAAGAGAACCAGTCATTTTGCATTGTGATGTAGGCTGGTTTATCAAAATGAGAGTAGCAAAGTTTTTTCTGACCATTCACAGGCACTTGGTGGGTTCGGTTTTAATCCCTTCAGTAAAAGCCTTTTCATTGCTTTGCATATGAATGGCAACGAACTTCTCGCTCTGAAGAAGCAAACATGATAACGATTATCGATTAATTCCTTTGAAAGGAGAGAGTAGCAAATCATATTATAGAGGGTCTTTCCTAAAATAGTGTTCTATTTGGACATGTCGCGTATTTCGCCCATTTCACGGTTGCCATAATCGTTCTATTTGCAGTGTGGTAGATAAATTTGTATATCGGAGAAAGTAGTCAGGAACCAGATATACTACATTATGATCAATGAAAGATACCGATACTTATCGCCAAGATTACACTCACCCTTAAAAATATTAAAAGACATCAAATAATCCCTACAATAGACACAAGAAAACTTAAGGAACCTAATGTAAAAGAACTGTATGTGAACTGCCTCCAACATGAACTGTATCTGAACTGCAGCAAATTGAACACTAACACCAATGATATTGACGAGTACTGGGATCGACTAAAACATTGTCTACTGCAACCCTGTAAAGAAATACTAAAGACTTCCGCAAGGAGTAAAGAAGAATGAATAAATGACGAGATACTCAATATGATGGAAAATACTTTGAAGAGAAATGCAAAGAGATCGAAGACCTTCAAAATAAATATGATTTGTTTAACCAACACAAGAAAGTTAAAGAACTGGCAGGACTAAGAAAACAAAATCCCACTCGTTCAATTCTGGATAGACACGGGACTACTATAACACATACGGACGAGAAAGTACAAAGATGGGCAGAATATATCGACGAATTGTTAGATGATGAAAGAGGAGACCTGGAGCACATAGAACTTACGTCAGAAGAAATAGACCATATATTATAAAAGAAGAAATATTACACGAATTAAAAACAATAAAGAGTGGGAAAAGCCCTGGACCTGACATGCTTCCTATAGCTGAAATCCTAAAAATTCTAGATTAGAAGCACATTGATGTTTTAGTGACACTCTTGAACCAAATTTATGCCATATTTAAAAACGCAAGAGAATGCAGTGATTACCGTACAATTAGCTTGATGTCCCAAGTGCTAAAATTACTACTTAAAAGTCATCCATAACCGAATATATCACAAACTGGACATAGACGTTAATGATACACAATTTGGTTTTCGCAAAGGCCTAGGAACGCGTGAAGCTCTTTTTTCACTTAATATACTGATACAAAGATGCCTGGACGTCAATCAAGATATATACGCATGTTTTATTGACTATAATAAAGCATTCGATAAAGTACGACATAAACAATTAATGAATGTCCTGAAATCAAAGAAGATTGACTACAACGACCTCAGGATCATATCAAATTTATACTATAAACAGCGAGCAAAAGTACGTGTTAACGAACAGCTGTCAGAAGAAATTGAAATTAGATGTGGAGTGAGACAGGGATGCGTATTGTCGCCAATTCTTTTTAATGCCTACTCCGAAGAGATCCTGAAAAATGCTCTTGAGGGTGAAACAGCTGGAATAAAGGTAAATGGAGTTCCCATTAACAACATTAGATATGCGGACGACACTGCGATCTTAGCCGAAAACATTGAAGATCTTCATTGAAGAAGAGACTGGTGACCAGAATAGCAGAGTATGGAAAAGAGTATGGTCTAAAAATTATTGTCAAGAAGACGAGATTTATGAGAAGACCCATTAACAACATTAGATATGCGGACGACACTGCGATCTTAGCCGAAAACATTGAAGATCTTCATTGAAGAAGAGACTGGTGACCAGAATAGCAGAGTATGGAAAAGAGTATGGTTTAACAATTATTGTCAAGAAGACGAGATTTATGAGAAGATCGGAAACTCAAAAAAATAACAAGAATCTTCTAATAAACGGAACCAACGTCGAACAAGTGGACAAATATGCATATCTGGGAACAATGATTAACTCTACAAATGATTACATTCAGAAGATCAAAATAAGAAGAGAAAAGGCTAGAGCAAATTTCAACAAAATGAGAAGAGTGCTATGTACCAGGGATTTAAAAGTGGAACTAAGAGTTAGGTTGGCGAGGTGCTATGTTTTTTCGACTTTATTTTATGGAATGGAATCTTGGACCTTGAATGCGACATCAATGAAAAAACTGGAATCATTCGAGCTGTAGGTGTATAGAAGAATTCTGAAAATATCGTGGACAGAACACGTCACAAACAAAGAGGTTCTGAGAAGGATGAATAAAAAAATGGAAATTTTAAATACAATTAAAACAAGAAAATTAGAATATCTCGGACATATTACACGTGGAGAGAAATACACCTTGCTCCAACTGATTATGCAGGGAAAGATCCAAGGAAAGAGAAGCATGTAGAGGCGTAGAATGGCATCGCAACCTGAAAGAGTGGTATGGATGTACATCGAATGAACTTTTTAGAGGAGCCATTTCAAAAGTCCGAGTACCTATGATGATTGCCGACCTCCGCCACGGAGATGGCGCTTGAAGAGGAAGATAAATTTGTGTCTAAACAATCAACCAACACCCGTACGTCGACGAAACGTAAGATCTGGCGAAAACCCCGCCGCTTCCGTGAGACTGTGCAAGAGAATCCGAGGTCGTCGATTTACACGCGTCTTTATTCGCGTCGATAACTTCGCGAATCTTGAGCCATGATTTGAGCCTACAAGCGTACAAAATTCAACTGACCAGGAGCTGAAGGTAAACTATCATAGATAACGACGTGTATTCTCTGAATCGGCTCTGGAGTAGTTGGAAACTGACTCTAATTTTCATCGAAAAATCATCTTCAGCGATAAGGCTCATTTTTGGATCAATGAGTGTCCAAAAACAGAATTGTCGAATTTTGGACGATACCAATCCAGACGAGATCAAATCATAGTTTACTAGTGATTTTGGATGGCGACTGGCGACATCATCGGCACATACTTGTTTGAGAAAAAAATGGTCGTGCCATCATCGGCAACTATATAGGTAAATAATTATCAGCGACTGGTGTGAACTGGCCTTCGAGATCGTGCGATTTTACATCGTTAGACTTTTCTTGTGGAGTATTCTAAAGTCGCTGATCTATGTCAATAAGCCACGAACCGCAAAAGATTTATCCGCCTAGATATGGAAAATTGTTTGGGGATAACAAAACGAAGCCGCGGCAGACATTTGCACTATATTAAACGAATAAAAAATGTTGATGATTTATTTGTTCATTTTATTATTTTCACTTTGTTTTAGTTAAATTTAAAGACCCTAAGTTGTGACAAATCACAGAATTTTCTACAGTGCCAATTACTTTATAATATGAATCTACGTAGTCCAGTAATTGTTTGTATTGATATGGAGGGTTTAAGTTTGACACATCAAGTAATGTGTGGGTGCCTTGGTTATAATTGTTCCTTCTACCTATTAAAACTGGTAACACTAGTACTTCGAATACAGTATATGCAAGACCAATATAACTGATTGTATGAATAATTAGTAATTATTAGTAAAAATTGTGAACATAATAAACTCGAAACACAAAGTACTCAAACTTACTCGTAAATTAGATGAAATACATTGACACCATCTTAGATAAAGCCTATGCCTTAGTTCAAGAAGCTAAAACTTCAATAAACCAATTCTACAAATAATGACGAAGTATTGCGAAGTATGCCCCTAATTTCTATAATTGATTCCGTAAGCAACATGTAAATACCACACTTAATAAGCAAGACAAGACAATCACAGCGCCGCAAGTATCCCAATTTAATGAATATATTTTACCTTGGTCCTGGGAGGAGCTGCATAACTTTGAGGAGCACTGTGCTGTGTATACGAAAACCCTCCGTAAGGTCCCTGAGATCCTTGATGGCCATGTCCTCCACCGGGAGGAGCACCAGGAGCACTGGAATAGGACTGTTGGCCTGAAGGATACGTGTTCGGAGGATAAGAAGCCCCACCGCCGCCAGAATGATATCCCCCACCAGATGGCGGATACCCCCCACTAGATGGCGGGTATCCTCCGCTAGATTGGGGCGGTGGATAACCTCCGGGAACAGCAGGAGGATAGCCTGGTATGCTAGGAGGGTAAGTGGGCATTTGCATGGGTTGTGGCATGTGCATGGGCATGTTGGAGGGATAACCGAAAGCGTTAGGATTGAGTGGTGGGTAGGGAGGTGCTCCTCCTTGAGGTTGTTGGGGGTATGGGCTGGGTGCTCCCGGTGCTGATCCCTAAGAAAGGTTAAATAGTAAATTTAGTTACGATTGTTACAAAACCCAGTTAATAAATAAAAGTTTGTCGAATTCAATTCAGCAACTTTGAAATAGTTAAAATACAAAACAAATAGTTTTAAACTTTGTTATACTGTCTATTTTCGGTAGAGCTGAGTACGCATAAAACATATAGGTAAAAATAACATTTAATGTGTATATAGCTACATATATCTAGGAAGAGAGGTTAACTCGGTACTAGATCATTCAAAGATGCACTCAGATAACAAGATCAGGATTATCAATATGTGAAAAATAAGGTGTTATCCAAAGCTGGCTATCCACATGGACCTTAAAACAGGAACATAAACAGGTGCAGATAACACATGTTCTTCCAGACATTCCCAAACTGTATTCTAGGAGTTAAACAACAATGAACGTAGTCTTCTCCTGGCCTTGGCAGCCATTAGGTAATAAAAAATATTAAATTAGTAATATCTCGTAAAACAAGATTCGTCTGTAAACAGAACGTTTCTCCAATCTTTATATTCCAACATGAATGAACACAATAGAATTCCAAGCGTTGTCTTCGATGAGCTTCGTCCAATAAAGTGTCTGTAGCAGGTCAATAAGATGATAAATTTTGTTCGCTTAATATTCGACGTACGGTGTCTGGTGAAACATATTACTATGAGCATCTACCCCAGCAACTGTCCGCTCTTGAAGTACTTGAAGTTTAAGAAACCACGGCGTTTTTTTACCTTAGTGTTTCCTGTACTTTCCTTAGTCTTCTTGAATAAGAAACAGTTTCTCGAAATCTTTGTAAAACATCCTATAGTGTGATTCGCGGAAAGCTAAGCATAATATCTGTGATATATCGAATGAAACGCTATCATTTTAAACAGCAGGTGCTTGCGCTACTTGATCTGGCCTTATTGCAAATTATTGAAAAAGAAAATATTCGATTTATCGAGGGCACCTTAACAAGATTTTTCTTAAGTCACAAAAAATCAATGTTTTTAACTGTTTAAAATAACAAACTTATAGATAAAAGCAACTTATATTTTGATAAATATATTTAATTATTATACAGGGCAATTTAACAAAATTAAAAGGAGAAAACTATGAAATTTCAAGTGCCCGGTTACTTTTGTGGGTCAGTTTATTATTAAGATTACTAGTGTCTGTTTTATTATTAATGGCATTGTAATTGGTTAATGATTACAATATTTTCGCGATTTCATAATCAAACAGATGGCCTATTTTTATAAAGTGTTCGACAACAGCGCATGTATTATTTCTTCTGTTGCAGTCATTTTTGTGTTGTGTGATCATGTTTCAACCACTGAGCAACTTGTCCAATATGTCATCCCTGACAACCTAAACACTGTAATTGATATATTACATTACTATTTTACATCACGTGTCCGATCTTTAGAGAGAGAGAGAGAGAGAGAGAGAGAGAGAGAGAGAGAGAGAGAGAGAGAGAGAGAGAAAGAAGGCCCTTTCTGTCCATAGGGAGAAAACTATATTATTATATCGTTTTCTTTAAGGCCGCCAAAGCAGGTGGCGCCTTTGTACGCTAACCACTGTAGTGGTGAAGATTTAGGAGACATTCGTTGAACTTTCCGAGTTTGAATTTGTATCAGCCCAAGTGTCTGATGAGGATGGAATCCGCCGAAATGATTCATAACACTTTATTGATACCGATTCGAGCAGCGATAGCAGCTTTTGCTATACACACACACACACACACACATAATATATATATATATATATATATATATATATATATATATATATATATATATATATATAGATATATATATATATATATATATATAGTCATAATAAGATGTTATATTCAAATCATTTTTCACATATACAATATAGGTAATTGGTCTGACCTTCCAATTGACCAACAATAGATATTGACTTTATTTTTAAGTAGTCAATGTTTTTGGTCTATAAATAAAACCGAATCCATTTTACTCTCACGGCGAAACTTTCGCGGCAGTTTTGGGATAGAATATAAAAACTTATGAGGCTCCGAGTATCTCTCAAAAACTGGGATAACGACCAGCGAGTTAGATAAACACAACAATAATAGACGAAAAAAATCAATATTCTAGATACTAGGACGAACAAAGGACATATGGCATTATTGATCTCTTTCTAATTCATTTTAAATTTATGTTTGTACTGTTCTATATTTAGATTGTTCAATGGGTTATTAATTACACAGGGTTACACAAAAAATATTTTTTAAAATTGTTTGGAATTTCATAACTGATTTTTATGTATTTTTCAGCGCTGATTGCAAAAATGCAATCCATTTTTTCCTATCACGTAAGGTTTTCTCACAAAAAAGGAATTAATTTTTGGTATAATAACAAAATTTTAGCAATTTTTCAAATTTTTTCTTAAGTTAAAGGATTTTATTTCATGTATAATACATGTTATAAACTACATATCTAGTACACTTACATTTCTCTTTAAGCTCATAAGTCCTTATAGTAACGCTTTTGCTTTCCGTCGAAGCTTCTTTTATTGCTTTTCCGGCTGTGTACTCGTTGAGGGTCATCTCGTTTTAGCATCCAGCAGTAGTCCGCTATCATGTTGACGTTCCATCTTCCTTGATACCTTCTTTCCATTTCCTTGATATCTTGGTGGAATCTTTCACCCTGCTCTTCACTTACATCACCAAGGTTTGCAGGGAAGTAGTCTAGATGTGAATGGAGAAAATGAACTTTAATGCTCATGTTACATCCCAGCTTCTTAAAGTTGTCGAGCATGTCTGCGACAATTGTCTTGTAGTTAGGATCTTTTTTGTTTCCTAGGAAACCGGTAACAACTAGTTTAAAAGATGTCCATGCTGCTTTTTCGTTTGTTTCCATTTTGTCCATAAAATTGGGATCTCTCATCAGTTTTCTAATGTATGGTCCGACAAAGACTCCTTCCTTTAGTTTTGCCTCGGATAAACCAGGAAACTGTCCACAAAGATACTTGAAACACTACCCTTCTTTTGGCAACTTAATGTGGAGTGGTGGTAGTAATACCTTTTTGAAATCCACAGGACTTTTAACATTTTTAACCCCCCCCCTGTAAGGTTTTTCTCAAGGGCCAAACTTTTTTAATGTAGTGTTGCTTTCTGTCTCTACTGTTCCATTCACAGAGAAAGCAAGGGAACTTTGTATAACCACTTTGTTGACCAAGCAGCATTGAGATCACTTTCAAATCACCACATAGTGTCCATTTATGGTCTGAATAGCAGAGTTTGCTTAAAACCAGTTCGAGGTTTTCATAATATTCTTTCAAGTGAACAGAATGTCCAACTGGCATAGAAGCATACTTATTGCCATTGTGTAGAAGCACTGCTTTAAGGCTTCTACGTGCCATAAGTCCAGGAACATCACTGCAAAACACCAAGTCACCTTATTGAGAGAAAAAAGATACAAACTTCTTTTTCCTGGAACGATACCAAGAAAAGGACGTACCCGGAGCCAACATATTTTTATCTTTTAATCTAGACCCTAAAAGTTCTAAGACCTAGGTTTCTAACTAAATCAATCAGTTCAGATTGTGAGAATGGAACGGAATCGGTTGTGCCAGGATCGTAGCCATCACTGTCTTCTTCACTTTCACCTAGCTGAGCCAATGGCTCGTGGTCATCTAAAATACCATCCAAAGAAACTAGAGGAGAGGGTATTGGTACTTCAGGTCCATGAGGAACAGGGCGAATGGCTGATTTGATGTTAGGGTAAGAAATATCCTTTTTGTTTTTTCATGAAACATCACTATGGTTTTTGGGCTCTCTCCAAACCATTGGTATTCCAAAACTAAATGACTGCTTTTTACCTTGAAACCATTGTCTCAGTTCTTCAACACACACTGAACAAACTTTGTGTGGGGCCCAAGACTTGTCTTGATCACCAAACTTTATACCAAAATAGGCAAAATATCAACAAAATCGGAAATGTTTCTTTTTAACTGTATAGTTACCACAAATGTAGCAGAAGCAATCTGGTGAGTTGATACATCCTCTGGTAGCCATTTTTCATAAAACAACTTCACACCACAAGAAAACAATCTGTTTAGGCTGATGCCTTGAGTTTATGTTCTTTGTAGTTCGATAAAAAATCACTGAAAGTTATTTGATTCACACTTTATTGCCAACTATCCGTGTGTCACGAGATATCATTTAATACTACTCTCACAATCACTACTACAAATCACTAGTAACCACAGCACGTGAACAGCACAGAGTGAAGAGATACTGTGAACTGAAGAACAGGTAGCAGAAGCTCACTGCTTGGTGATGGAGAGGGGGATGGGCACTGTGGCAGACAGGCACTGACATAAAAGATGCTCAGTGAGTCAGTAAGTGGATGGCGAGGGAGGGGAGGCAATGAAGTACCGACATGAAAATAATGCTGGTTTCTCTATAATTAGGAAATTCAAAAATGTTGTTCGATGCATTAAAACTTCTAAAATTTACGCTGCGCTTTTATTTTTGTTCTCTAAAATTTAATTTTCTTATCAATCTAACGTTGGTCCAACTGATATTAGAAGGGGCTCATAAATATAAAATAGCAATTAAAAAAGAAAACTCAAAAGCATCTAATAAAAACTTAATGAAACAATTATTATGAAATAAATCAATTTTAAAAATAACTAATATTTGTTTCAATGTTATTTATAAATAATCAAAATATAAAATAGTTCAGAAACATTGGATAAACCTTGGCCGTATATTGCTGTTAGAGGTCGTTACTTGACCTTCTTCATACAACTTCGTTACAGAAATTGAACACGATTAGGAAATGACACCGGTTTTTCTTGCCACAAAATAGAAATTTCGATAATAAATTGTGTGGTTAGATTTCGTAACATTGTGTTGATTAGACATATTAATGAGGAAAGAAAAAGAACATAACTTTAAATGGATGTGCTGTTATTTAAAAATGAGAAAGCAAATAATTGTATTTATCTAACAATAAAACATTGAAAACTTTTCTTTT